GTTTTATTGTCGCTTCCACAGACCTTCTGTTGCAAGGAGCTAGGGTCTGAGCAGCTTGGCCAAAGAAAGTAACGCAGACCGCACGACAATTTTCTGTATTTAACGGGTTCCAGCTTCTCTCCGGAAACTGCAAGTAATAAGGAAATAAAAGATGATATGCATCTGCGTGTATTATCAAATCACACCAGTAAGATTTTCCCTTTTTCATACACGGTTGTCGTTGTTTTTGTTCGTTTGTTTTTATCATTATTTTTATTATTTTTATTATTTTTATTCCTCCTCCTTTAAGTCGGCGGAACGAAAGCCGAGAGGAATAATGACGTGAAAATAGCGCGCAAAACGGGTAGGAACCTAGGAAGACATTGGAAAAGGATATATTTCGAGTGCATTTCGACTGAATGTCGTAAAACAAAGACCAAAGTAATCGCAAAAATCAACATAGAAAAGACGGATTGCAAAGAGGCGATCGTAAATCAATGAAAAAACGCGCGGAAAAACGTTACATGTCGCGATTGATTTTTGTCTTGAATGTGATTGGTGGAGAAAGTGGCGCGAGTTTTCTGAACCTATCACAGAGTGAGGTAACGCAATAATACAGAGATCTCGGATCATTTTCGACTGCTAGACAACCAAAATTCTATAACTATAGCACGTGACCCTCGGCAAATCAGAAATCACATTTTTTTTACAAATTCCCTATCGTATAGCATGAACACTGGGTAGGACTTTCGTTCTGTGAAATAGAGTTTTTGTGTTTCAAGGGAACAATTTTTTTCCATTTCGGAGGACTGAGATTTCTCCGGGGATCTCCCACTCGCGATTTTTCTTTTAGTGAAGCAGAACCATAAAAAGTGAAGAAATTCATTGTCAACAAACTTTTCTGGGTTACACAGAGTAAATTTAAGCCTCGTGGAGGATAAAGGTTCGGAGGTGAGGGCTTTTACTGTAATTGTTGAGGTTTTTAGTTGGTAAGATTTTTATCTTTTGTTGCGGAAACATACTTTTGCGTATCAGGGACTAAACAATAAAATTAGCAAATACCGGATTGAAGGTCGCAAAATCATCCGCATTTTTACAGGTAAGCACTACATAAGCATCAAAGGTAAACAAAACATCAGCATCAAGTACCTAAAACAAGAGATTTAAGGTCGACCACATGTTTCTGTTGGCTTTAGGCCCAAGAAAAGTTTGCGTTTCCAAAACTGATGGTTCAAATATAATAATGTCAAAAAATGTCCCTTTTGTGTTGTAAAGTGACTTCCTGAGCAGCTATAGAATTCAAGTAAGAGGTGAATATTTTTTTTTACTCGGTCTAATGCCGTTACGCAGACTTCCAGAACGGATAGCACATTTCCGAAATTGTGAAGCGAAAAGGTATTTGTGCAGCTAAATACCACAAGAAAATTTTCAAAAGCACTATTTCATTATTAATTTCTCGACGCAAGAATCTTGTGCTTTGAATCCTGCAAAATTCGACGCGTTATGTACGCATAGCGTTTTAAAAGAAGCTGTCGTATTCCTTACCCGATAGATGTAACACAGCAGTGAGACAGAGTAGACTGAATACTTTCCTCATTCTGACAATCTTGAATAACAATTGGGCGATGAAGTCTAAAGTTAGGTGGAAAGGCTCTCTCTATGATCTGTTCAGTGTCGTTGGAGAAATAGAACTGATCTCTAAGTGATATACGATGGCATATATATCCAATCACAGGCCCGACCCAATTACACCGGGATTAACCAAGATGAAGTTCTCGTGCCTTCTTCCAACTCCATAGATGTTTCGTTTTTATTAGATCAACACAGATAATGCCTGTCGATGGCATTAGAAGGCATTTCTTTTTATCGAGTTTGCCGGAGACAATTTCATGCTGTGTTCGACCTTAAATGAATATCTTATTTTGAATGCCGCTCATTTATTCTTAATTATATATTTTTTCCATAGAAAAAACTCAAGGTCATGATCTTTGATGGACTAGGAGGTTGCTATATTCATTTTTGCATGGCGGAGTTTTTAAAGCATGTTTTAACTTTTAGTTGTTTACCTAGTTAGAATAATTTTGTATCAATAAACCCATTCAAAGTCAGTATGTAAGTTTTAGTCTTCTCAGTTTAGTTGGTTCAAATGTTTAATGACATATAAATGTCTTACATGTATAAATAAGCTTTTAGGTGACAGCCAATTATAAAGTACTCAATACTGATAGCAAAAAAAATTCTCGTCCATTAATCGAAACAGATCTCTACATATTTCTTAATATGATTAATTCCTCTTCAATTGCTTATTTTTATTTATTCACTTGAAACATATTTTATCCGCAATAGCAAAGGCACCAGATTAACTGTAGATCAATCGGGGTTTCGGGAACAATAATAGGTGTATTTAGATTTAATCGCAAATTTTTACCCTCATTAACCTCAGTCTAATTGGCTTGTTTTAGAGGAAGTGGTATACAAAAATGTACCGGTCGTAAATTAAGTTAAAAATATTCATTCATGTAGGCCAAGAAGAAAATATTTTTATTGACGAGGAAGACAGGAGCTGAGACCGCATGGAGAATTATTAAACGCAATTAAGCAACGGAAACCGGCAAAAATCTGATGATTTGCAAGTCTTGTCGATACAAAAAGCCAACTTATTTGAGTGGGATCTGATGTTTATTATGCAACCCAAAATTGTGCAGTAGTAAAAATAAAGAAAAAACTCAATTACAAGTTCCGCGACATTAAATTATTAACATGAAACATTCATGGACTTTCATAAACTCATCAAAGAAGAAATTCAAAGCTTGCAAAGGAAACGTGAGAAATAATTTTACGAGGAATCTAAATACATGAAGTTCCTTGGTGGATTTAACCTTTTCTTAGCTTACTGTTATTGATCGCCAGTTACTTGGATTTGATCAAGTGACAATACGAAAGGAATTCGGGATGATTCTAAAGTCATTAAATTCCTCTTTACCTAACAGCTAAACTCATGCAACTCTTGGATAAGAATAGAATAAATTACTACAGCTTTCCACTTCTTTATCTTTTTAAGACTTGAACTAATATGTTGTTCAACTTCTGTCACGATATTTTTGTTAAAAATTATCGTTTCCCAAAGAATAGCTGTGCGATTTGTTTTAAGTGCGAAAAAGTCACAGCAAATACTGCCAAAATAGACGACTTAAATCACTTACTGAGGCAAGCTTTTATGATAAGCGGACTAAGGTTTTCCTTGATAAAGATTCGCGTATGATAGGAAGATTAACACCCACCTATCGAAGGAGGTATGTCGGTGATTTCGGCATCGTCAAAGTGGGCGAGAGAGCGGCATAAGAGCATTTAATAGGATGATAAGAAATGCTTATATTTTAAAAATTCCTTTCGCAGAAATGCACTCTCAACTCAGTTTACCCCAGATCACGACGTCCACCCATTCACAAAGTTCCTCGGATTGCTTCGTGGTGGCAAAAGATTCAACGGCATTTTAACAATAAACTATTGTTGCGTGAACTTTCTTAACGGGTCTCTCCAAGCTTGGCCAAAATATTTACAAGTCACATTTGCTTGTATGGTTACGAATCGTCAGTCAAGATTGACTATTTTCGCCTATATACTCTTTGGAATTTCACTCTTGTCTTCGTTTTATAAATAAAATTGTAATGAAACGCGTCACTATGGCGCACCGGTGGATTTAGAGGAAGTTACGTTTGTTGAAATAACTGCTTTTAGCTTCCAAGAGAAAGCGCTAATTCCTTACCATTAGACTGGAAACCTTTTGTTACAAATGTTTTTTTTCTCTTATGTGGATTTGCAATTCGTTATCGTAGAGTATGAATTGAAAGACCTTGTTTATTCATTTTCTACGTTTTCCCTTCTAAATCCAATAAGTGAGATTAGTTTCGGTACATCTTAATTCGTTTACTGCACAAATTGCGAACATTACCCGGGGGATCCCTGAAGCAAATTTAGGATATTGAACAAAGGAATCGAAAATTTCTAAAATTTTTGCAAAATCAACAAATTGTTTGTAATCTTCGGTTTATCATATTTGCTACATAACTTGAAAATAGGCTGCTCACTGAATATCTTGTGAAATAACAAGATTACATTCAAAACGGAAAATCGCGATCGAAATAAATACCTACTTTCCATCGATTTACATAGGACTAAAATGGGAGCCAAAACTCCTAAGGACAGTAATTGAAACTTATCTTATATCGAAATATATTAATTAAAAAAAGACCACTTTTTGCCACTTTAAGCATACACACCTCCCTCCCCCCTCCAACAATGTTGGTAAAGCTGACAAAACACCAAGTCTTAGTAAAGTTTACAAAGGGCACAAAATTTAACATTGTTTGGGAGAGAGGGGTGGGGAATAATTCGATTTTAGTAATATCACGTGGAGTGTCTCAAGACTTTTAACCTGAATACTAGATTAAGAAAATTCCAGTAGTAATAAGCCTTCTTCGAAATTACTCCTTCGCCTGGTCTTCTTAGTTTATCAAAATAACCACTTTCACATAGACAGCATACTTGGTTGGAACTTTCCAGAAAAATTCTATTTCAGAGAAACCTTAATTTGACCAGTTTTTTTTTTCACGGTATCCAGTTTTTTTGTATCCGCGGTCGTTTCGTAGCCACATTCAGTAGATTCGTAGCCAGTTTTAGTCGGCTCGTACCTGAAACGCCGGTCGATTTGTATCCATACCAATATGCCTTCATTCGAAATACCTCACGAGCGCGTGAACAGATGTCCATTGTTGTGGGTGATACATAAGTGGAGTCAAGCGAGTATGATACAAGCAAAAGTCTGTTGTGATCTTTTTCAATGTCCCTCAATGTTAATTTTTGCACAAGAACATGATATTTTTATTTTGAAATAAATACATGATAAAATTGAGTCCAACTTCACATGAATAAATTAGATACTAGTAACTTCACGCTTCATAAGATGACAGCAACAGCTTGAAACATCTGTAAGAGTTATTATTCTCTCCGAGTGATCTAAACAGAAATTGTCGTGCGATGGTAATTGCGACCTGGAAAGACACTTGCTGAGGGATAACTCGTAAGATATTTGCCCCTCAGGTAAGTGACTCATGTTGTTTGTTACATGTGCTTTGTTGGTTTTTTTAAATTTATTTATCTGGTTTAAATGAGGCAAGTTAGTAAGGTGATTCACAAAATATGAACCAGAAATGAATTTATCTCTATAAGCATCTTATGTGAACAGTTTAGGTTTTGATCGGCTCGCGCAAATTTAGCGACAGGAGCATGGAACAACCTAAAAGGGAATATTAAAAAACTGAAACAACGAACCAAACAGCAAAAAAAATGGGGAAAAATTAACAGAGAGAAATAATTAGTACAAAATATATTTTGCAAGGGTTCTTCCCATAATTTTAGCGTTTCCCAAAATGTTTTTCATACATTTGAGTAGAGAGAGCTAAAAAACAACGGAGCATTTGATAAAAAAATGTGAAAATGAAATGGAAGGAATCGACAATTTGATTCTAAGTAACGGTAGTTCCGAAATTTCAAATTATTCAAAGTTTCTGAGGGATAAATTTACGAGACTGTTGTGACGTTTATAATTTACGAATAGAACTTACCGGCTTGTAACATCTGTGAGGGTTTTATAAATAAATGTGTGATAAAATATGCAGATGGAATGAGAAAAAAAAAACAGAAAACAAAATGGAGAAACGAGAGATATATATATTACAAAAGCAACAAACGAAGAATTTCATTTTTCCTGTTGTAATTGCTTCTTGTCTAAGAACGGAAATGTTTCTTATAGAATACCACAAAGTCGATCAGTCTCTAAACATGAAGACATGTAACTTCTTTCTGGAATGAAATACATTATCATAATTTAAATTGTTTCGAGAAAGCAGATGAAGACACAACATTACAAGTTGCATTTTTTATTCTGAAATGATATGGTTTTATTTCCCTAACTTTATGAGCACGTCTAGGGCAATGTCTAATATACGGCTTTCATTAGGGAAGATGTCTATCAAGAGTATGTGGATTTTCATCGTTCTTTTGGGTAAGTCAACGTTTGTATTGAATTAAGACGCTGAGTTCAAATTTCATCAGATGGGACAAAGAACTGTTGTTATTCTCGTATCGATGCCAGCTTTTCCGCAAAAGATTATCCTATACCCATTTCCTTGCGTTTACCGAGGGGTAGTTATACCGTTTCATAATGGCGTATTAGTTGTATGTAAATTTTTTGCCCCTTTCATGAGGAAAACATCTGTTTAACTTTGCGGATGAATTTTCAGTGCAAAAAAAAAAAATTAGGATACTACTTTCCCATAATCCCTATTTTAAAATAATGCTAAGTAATCAGAACTAAAACACTAACCAGACCTAGGGTGTTTTAAGTGCAATCTCACCGAAATATCATAATGCCATATGGTTTTGATATTAATTTCGAAGCTAGAGTTTTTCTTTGTTACAATTGGGACATCTCTTACGTCCTTTAGTAATTTGTCCTCCCACGACCACATGACAAATTAGTCGTTAGCGTTAAAAAACTGTTTTAAATTCGTAATATATAAGCTTAAAAGCATTTCCCACACGTCTCAATGGCACAACGCCTTGCCCCGGCCAGGACTAGAACCCGGGTCGTCCGACTAAGAGCCCAGTGTACTGACCACTGGACTAATTCGTAATAGTGCGAGTCATCAGTATTGCTAACGCTTTAGACAGTATATCTTATACCTTGAAAAAACCCAACCTCAAGTGGCAAGAGGCGAATATGTTGAAATAACATTGTCATTTATGCTGCCTTCCTATTTTTCGGGAGTACCTTGTGCTGATAACGAATATCTTGAGATTCGCGATGGTTATAATCAGTCTGCCAATCTATTAGGTGTATTTTGTGGAAGATACATTAAGTCTTTAATCCGCCGATCCAGCGGACATTACATGTGGTTAAGATTTTCACCACCGGGCAGATACTGGTTATTTTACCATAATTACTATGAGGGAAGAGCAGCAAATAAAAAAGGTAGGTCATTGAGCGTTCTGTTTTTATATGTGTCCTGCTTTCATGATTTAGCGGAAATCACAAGTCCTTTTGAATTTGTTCTAGTTCCTGCAAGTCTGAGTGAAGACGCACAGACTCAGTTTGTACTGCTCAACCATTCTTCATCTCTGTGGTGCCCGGCGGAAGGTGGACCGGCTCCTCGCATTGTGTGGAGAAAGAATGGCGCTGTTGTGCAAAATAGCACGAGTGTTCGACTGCTAATCAACGTTACTAATGAAGAAAGGAATACAAACTACAGCTGCGAGGTGGACAGCCATGGTCAGTTGAAGAGGAAAAATATCAGTCTCGTTTTCGAGAGTAAGTCTGTCAAGTTACCTTTTTATTCCAAGGGAGGCTAAGGTACACGTAAATTTGGATAATAGCTTCATTACCTTACCATTTACTAGAATTGTAGATGATGCCGAACTAAAACTTTCTCTAGTTCATGAAACCAATTAACTTTGTTTACAAAAGCGATTCAAAGCTCTACCGAATAGACTCGCAAATTATTTTATCAATCAAAGAGCTCAAACCATAGAAGATATAAAAAAATTCATCTGATCGAGACAACAAGTCGCAACCCGAAATAAACCCCAACAGTTATTTTACTGCAAGATGAAATCGGCGCGCAAGTTCATAAATAACTTGAATTCATTGCTACAAGTCAAAAAGGCAGCCGAACAAAAAGCCTTTCATATTCATTAATAACTCGACTGCAAAATTTTCATAACCAGAGCGAACTCTTAATTAAAAAAAAGCATTCTGGAGCTCATTTAGGTGACGTGTCCAAACATCAAAATTAGTCAATATCCTATCATTTTTTTCTAGGCTGTCCTGAACCATGTCGATGCACAGTTCTGAAAGGTAACATGAAGGGCATACATGTTGATTGTGAAAGAAAACGGCTAACATCAGTTCCACAGAACATTCCGAGAGCTACAGTAAAACTGTAAGTACGTAGTTTACAAACAACATGATCTGGAGGAAACTAATGAATTAAGTTAAGTTTCTTAGATATAACGATCAAAGAATTTCCTAGATGTGCTCGAATTAAAGAACACAAAATAGTTCCCGGCTTTTTGGTTTGTTTTTAATCCACTGATTAGATATGAGTGGAGGTTGTTTTCAAAAAACGAACAGAAAAACTGCGGTACTGGCCAGTTTAAATGAATTTATCAAAAACATTCCAACATGTTTACTTTTTCCCTCAACAGTGTTCAAGCAATTTCTTTATCTTGTCATTTTCGTTCCATTTCAGGTGATTCCTCAGAAAAAAAAGTTATAGTTTTGATAAATGTTCCTTACCAGGTTCTCCTTCAAAAACTACAGTTAAAATAATAGATCACCGCGCTTGATTAAGAGATATAGTGGGCTAATCGTACCCCATTATTGCCTTTACTAGTCACGTACCCAGACCTTCCACGACCAAGCGGTTGTAAGGTCTAGTAAGTTCGATTTTTTTCACTAAAATACGGTACCTTCCCATGACCTTTTTGTAACCGCCCGGGAAATGGATTTTTAGCGCGCACTACGGAAAGTTCTTGACTCCAAAAACATGTCAAACTGAAGTCGAAGTGCTTTGAGTTGTGCCCGCCCTGATTGGCTGCTTCGAAAGTGATTAGCAAGAAATATTCACCTCAGAGGAGCCGAAGAGACAAAATCGCGCGTCAGCAATTTAATTTTCGATCAGCACTTGTAAAAGTGGTTTATATTTCCTGACCGCAAAGCGGCGAGGTAAATATTCACCACGAATCACCTCCTTTTCGGTGAATATTTGTTAATCATATATTTTTACGGAGGCAGAAATCCTATTGGTAACTAGTTTGGGGCTGTACACATACAAAAAGAGGAACATTTTTGCAACAGGAGCTTTTGGAATGAGATTTGACTCCCCTTTCTTGAGGAGCAAATAATTCACCTTGGAGCACCTTGAACTATGGAAAGCATGTTACAGGAAAGTGGTAGCCATTGACAGGGATAAGAGTGCAGCAGTGTCAACCCTACATTACAATAAAATTGCCCCATGCATGTCGTTTTGTAACTTGTTCCGTCGAGTATGTTACATTGTATGTTTGTTTCCTCTCAAGCTACAAGTTATGCCTACAATAACCAGAGTGCGTAACATTGTTCTTTCCTTTTGATCTTGTCCAAAACATGCGTTGCTTATGAATTGACTTAACGAAAATTATTGATGTGGCAGCTTCGAAGCTGAGTCAACTGAGCGTTCGAAAACGAAAACATATTATTTGAATGACGCTTACAAGCTCACATTTATTTTTGGTGAATGTTAATTGGAAATAGGGACCTGTCTTACAATGAGTTGAAGGATTTGTCCTCAAGAGTATTCGATCCACTTTACAACTTAAAGAAACTGTAAGTATCTAATATCATTCAATTATTTGTCTTTCATTGGACGTTCCTTACATTATATGTTTGTTTCCTTTCAAGCTACAAATTATGCCTACAATAACCAGAGTGCGTAACATCGTTCTTTCCTTTTGATCTTGTCCACAACGTGCGTTGCTTATGTCTTGACTTAACGAAAATTATTGATGAGGCAGCTTCGAAGCTGAGTCAACTGAGCGTTCGAAAACGAAAACATATTATTTGAATGACACTTACAAGCTCACATTTATTTTTGGTGAATGTTAATTGGAAATAGGGACCTGTCTTACAATGAGTTGAAGGATTTGTCCTCAGGAGTATTCGATCCACTTTACAACTTAACGAAACTGTAAGTATCTAATATCATTCAATTATTGGTCTTTCATTGGACGTTCCTTACATTATATGTTTGTTTCCTTTCAAGCTACAAATTATGCCTACAATAACCAGAGTGCGTAACATCGTTCTTTCCTTTTGATCTTGTCCACAACATGCGTTGCTCATGTCTTGATTTAACGAGAATTATTGATGAGGCAGCTTCGAAAATGATTCAATTGGGTCAAACATATTATTTGGGTGGCACTTACAAGCTCACGTTTATTTTTGGTGAATGTTAATTGGAAATAGGGACCTGTCTAACAATGAGTTGGAGGATTTGCCCTCAGGATTGTTCGATCCACTTTACAACTTAACGAAACTGTAAGTATCTAATATCATTCAATTATTGGTCTTTCAATTGGCGTTCCTTGAATTGTCTGTAAATTTGGATTGATGGTGGGTTTTTTTTAAGTGTGCTTGCATATATTTATATGTACCATGGTCCATTTTTTCTAAACAACATGTTCATATTCCTCGTTTTCGATCCATTTGGGCCTTTGAGTCGTCAAAATAATATAAAATCATTTCTAATTGAATACCTCACCCTATCATTCCATTGAATTCACAATACATTAATTAAAAAAAATAATTTTGCTTCAAAATGATTAACAGTGAATTTGTGATATTGATAACTTTGTCTTCCTCTTGTTTCTGCTTCTGCAGTGACTTGTCCTCTAACCAACTGGAGCAGTTACCTTCAGGAGTTTTCAATCAGTCCATAATGCTTTCAGAGCTGTAAGCAGAATGTTTGTTCCATCTATTAGGAAATCCTATAGACTTCTATGTCATAATGAATGCCTTAAATGTGGAATCCGTAACTTCTGACTTTCATATGATAGCAGCTTTACCCAGTTTCGTGTTAAAGGGAAATCTAAAGCTTATTTCCCAAATTTTCGAAAATTGCTCTTACGCTCTGAATAGTTTATTTGGTCGATCCATTCTGTTTCCGCACTCCTCTACTTCTCGTCATTCATTTCATTTCCGAACCAAGGGCTGCGTGAAGTGTGCTAATGCTGAAACGATGATCTACGCATTTTTATCTTCCTCAAAGTACGGATGAGGGGACTAGTATTCACAAAACCCTTTTTCGCGCGATCTAATTGAGATCACATTCAAGGCTTTCTTTAAGAATCATAAAATCGGTTTTTCGAATGGAAGGAAATCAATTCTTCATCTTAAAAGCCTTAAACTATGATTACTAATTATCGCACCTAATGCTTTTTGATATCATGTGCCTTTGTGAGTCTAAAAGTTTATGACGGGGCAATTAAACTGAAAAAACAAAAGAAGAAAAGCGAGAATCTTAGAACAGAGGTCAACTTGTCATAATCGACCCGAAGACGGTATCTTTTCTGCCAGAGAGTAACTTTCGTTCACAAAGGTACTCTTTGGATTACTACTGCACTCTCCTCCTCAACTTATTCCATTTGGTATATTTCAGGTAATTCTCCCAATCTATGTCACCTATCAATTCAGGAGCCTACTCACAAAATGTAGGATCTGTTTATCGGCTCATACCAACTAACACAAAACTATTACTTTGAGTGACCAGGAACTTCCTTTGGTAAAGTCAGTGAAGTGCCTGATTTTATGGCAAGTCCCTTTATCTCCGAATAATAACTGTACATTAGTGGATATGACGTCGACCAATTTGACTCTTGTGGTTTTCTTGCTAACTCTACAGATTCCTGAACAACAACAACTTAAGGAATTTGTCCTCTGATCAACTACCTCGGAGGTCAACGTGGTACACATTTCAAAACCTGTAAGTAAGAGGTTTATTTATCCTTGGGATAAGTGATCATACCAACTGATATTTCAAAGCACACCTGGAGCTGTACCGTTCCGCAAAATTGCAAATGAGCTGAAAACGCAATTCCTATAATCCATAATCTCGGAAAGCTTAATTTTATTAAACCTGTATATTTAATCCACATCAGCTCCAAAATTTTCAAAATATAATGGTGATCTTAGAAAGGTAACTTTGTAAGTGGGCGTCATGAATGAATATTCATAAATAAAGAAACCTTGATTAAAAATAAGGTGCAGACCTTTGATACCAAAATCTATAAAATGATCGGTTTTTTTAGGTCTTTTCCTTACTAATTTGAGTTGTCTTGGGTATGATCTCTACTAGCATCCCGTGACGTTTTTTGCCAATTGCTGATATCAAATTTCGGTCATCAGTTTAATAAGGGTGAATCCGCAGTTCGCATATATGATTTCACATACTCGTAGATTTTGATTCATCACTTCACGGGTGTATTACGAACCACCATCATAACAGTGGCTCAGCTGGTAGGGCACTGAACCAGTATCACAATGGTCACAGGCTAAAAATCCCGTACAAGCCTGAATTTCACTATTACGTTCATTACATTCATATTTATTTCCTAATCAGTTTACAAAATAGTTTTCATATATTCATGCACAGTCATTCATCTAATTACAATAAGAAACATTTATGTAACAGTCTATGAAATGAAAGTATTTTCCAACACAGAACCCTGGATTTCAACAAACTGGAGACGCTGCCATTTGATCTGTTCAAGGACCATAAATTTAATGATCTGTGAGTAAAGTGCTGTGAGACTTGCTACAACATCAATTCCCTCCCCTCTCCTCCCCCACCTAGGTTTGGTTTCGATTTTCCTAACGGGTTTCTGTATCTGGGTCACTTTATTTACACTTTTTTCCTTAACAACTCAAACTTTTTTCGATATTGTAAGGAATTACAATGTGAATTAGTATACACTGAGAGACTAGATATCTTGGGCTTTTCAGACTCATAATAAGCAATACATAAAAGCTTTCATGCGTTAATCACATGGAAATTTTTTAAATATTAGGAAACTTTCATGTCGTCAATAAGAATATCACTCATTTCAGGACCTCGTTTTACTATCCTGAATTAGTGAAGACTACGCCACCAAATAGTTGCGAATCCCGCTTTGTTTTTAAGTTTCCTTCATTTGGTAAATATAATGGAAGTCATACTAATGCTAATAATTTCACAGCTGGCTGGGAAACAACTACATCAAGACGTTACCTGAAAGACTGTTTGCCGGGCAAACAAAGTTAAGACGCTTGTGAGTAATAATCATAATTTGTAAAAATCTTCATTTGGAAGGTAGCTACCACTCCCTTCGCCTGCTTGACGAGAGCACATAAAGGCAGCGGAAGAACTTTAAAACAAATTTGATCATGGTTACACAAGACCGGCATTTCATCAAAAGTCAGGCTTACAATAAGCAAACCTTGATAAGCAATAATCTTTTTGTAGGAAAATATAACCGTGATTCGCCGAGTCAAGTATTAGTCTACTATCCGATCGATTTGACCACACTTATTTTGGTTCGGTTGCTTATGCTCGCAACTTTCCAGACTTTCCTACCTGAAACTTATTCGGCCAGTTTCTTCTCTGTTAGGCTAAAAATGCTTCTTAAATGTTTCTTTAATAACGTGTAAAAATCCCTCTTATCGTTTTCGTAATTCGTGCAGGCATTTGGGCGGCAACCAACTAAAGAAGCTACCACGCGACATATTTCATGGATTGACTAACTTGGAGGAACTGTAACTATTTTTTCCTAAATCCTTCTTCTAAAATTTGTTTGTTCAAGATTGTAATGTCCTGTGTAAGTGCTTAAGTTGAACCAGTAGTTATAGAGTCGGTCTTGATGCGTGATCGTTCATATGACTGTAATCTGTCACCAAAGAAGTCTTCTTAACCTAAAAATGGTTGTTGTAACAACATTGGCTGAAATGTTCATCAAATTCCGACGAGAAAGAGTTGATTTCAGCCAAATGTTTTATCAGCTTGGTAAGTTTTCCAGTTTGCATGTCACTGTCCATGACACGAAAGTAGGGTTTGTCCGTTGTCAGGAGAGAGAAGCCTTGGGTAAAAGACTAGATGTGGCAAGGAAATAAAAACCTTCCCATTTGTAAATTTCTAAGCCGATAAATTTAATCGTTTCTTTGATGAACATGCCCAGACCCTTGTTAAAATAAAAATTGGCCTCTTCTTTCTCTTGTTTCTCTTGTTTCTCTTACTGTTGTCTGATTCATTCTCTCCACCTGGTGAGAGAATCTTGTCATCAGCATTACTTTCCTTTATCTGACACCCTCAATTAATCGAAGTAATTCACAAAACCTTCAAAGAAAAAGCAAAAATTTTAAGAAGATTATTTATAGAATATTTTGCTTGATAGAAATATATAAATGTCTCCTTGTATTTCAATCGACATATAATCCACTCATTGTACAATCTTTTTTTGTCAGAGACTTGTCATACAACCAGTTGCACAACTTGTCTCGAGGCATTCTGAGCACAAATACTAAGCTGAAAAAATTGTAAGTAGAGCTTGTTTTACTAACATCCTGTTACAATTCCATTCTAAATACTGTTTTATAGTAATCGATTTTTACCTAAGCCCCTTGAAAGGCTTTCAATCATCTTGTGTAATTTTGCCTCCGACTGACATCCATTCAGAACACTCCGCAATTATTTTGCTATTTATAACATTCATGGAACTCTGGAATTATTTTCTTACTTTTTCTGAGCCACATTTCGTAGACAACTTTTATCGCATAATTTAATTCCTAACCTGGCTCTAATTCAGCACCTGCTGGAAGAGTGAGGAAGGGAGGGGGCGGGGAGTGGGAATCTAGTCCTCTCCCTCCATAAGACTGAATTTTCTGATTTTTTTCTTTCAAAGTTAGCTTAGTCTTTATTCTAAACTGAACTATTATTTTAAGGGATTTGTCGAACAACGCGATTAAGCGTCTGCCATCGTATGTTTTCGGAAACCTCACTGAGTTGAAAAGGCTGTAAGTGGTATCCTGTTGAGACTGAACAATAAAGCTACTTCTAACATCAAATTATTTTAAAGTTTCGCCTCACAATTTTTCCAACAGTTACAGCAACACACAAACTTCTTAGGCTCTATGAAAGAGGGGATAAAATGCGCTATATTACTATAATGCTCATTTTGCTACATTTCCTCACCTGTTCATGGTTTTGTTAACGCATCAATTGTATTTAAAGTTCCGAATTAAATTTGACTGTCTTTAACAGCATTTTCTTTCCCGTAACTAGACATCATATTGCTGCATGATACCGTGTTAGGAGACATTGCATAAATAAGAGAGTTTAACTCGTACAACATTGATTTGTCGAAAGACTGATCGACCTTTCACAGTTTTGGTACCGACTGATGCTGAGGAGAAAAATTCGGAAGACGCCTGTTTACAGCAGATGTGAAAGAACGCCTTTAGTCCAATTTATCACGGATCAGGTGTAATATTTTACTTTGCGAGACCTGATCTTGTTTTAAAAAAAATTGTGGTCAGTATCCAAATACTAGAAAAATAATTTTAAGAACCAATGAAGATCATTTTAATGTTCTATGTTTCTTCTTTTGTCTTTCCCTGCAGCGTTCTGTCCAGTAACGGACTTCAGCGTTTGCCAAGGTTCAACAATCTCTCCAAGATAGAAATATTGTACGCAGTTCATGTTTATAATGGAGACTAAAGCAATAATTGTATCGTGTAATCTTCATTAATTAGAAGGATCTTTCAAAACAGTTTATAACATAGCTAGTAAATTTGTCTCATCCAATTCAATTGCGCGAGCGTGCTTCATATTCCTATTGTGCACGCTCATGACGTCAGCAAACATATTCTTCGAGAAAAAAAATTTTCCATCGGGCTGAAAATGTTATTAAACAATTGGTTCATACGCCAGCTGTGCGTTCATCGAGATATGAAGCACTTGGGAAGTTTGGAGAGCACGAAAGATGCGTAAGAGTTGCTCGAGGCGTAGCTGTGCGTTCATCAGCTGTGCGTTCATCAGCTGTGCGTTCATCGAGATATGAAGCACGCGGGAAGTTTGGAGAGCACGAAAGATGCGTAAGAGTTGCTCGAGGCGTAGCTGTGCGTTCATCAGCTGTGCGTTCATCAGCTGTGCGTTCATCGAGATATGAAGCACGCGGGAAGTTTGGAGAGCACGAAAGATGCGTAAGAGTTGCTCGAGGCGTAGCTGTGCGTTCATCAGCTGTGCGTTCATCGAGATATGAAGCACGCGGGAAGTTTGGAGAGCACGAAAGATGCGTAAGAGTTGATCGAGGCGTAGCCGAGAGCAACTCTTACGCATTTTTCGTGCTCTCCAAACTTCCCGCGTGCTTCATATATCGATGAACGCACGCTGACTTATGAAATTAATATGATTTATGATATTAATATAATAATGTTAATTAATATTAATCAATGATATTAATATAATAATATTATAATTATAATATAAAAAGTAATATTATTTATGATACTGACTTATGATATTAATATTTTACCCGAAGCTTACTTCTGACTTTAGGAATTTCTTAAAGTCTGTTTTAGGATTCAAAAAAAGGAACAACGGTCAGCCATTTAAAAAGTAAAATCTCAATGTCAAGTAATACTTCCCATCATATCAATAATTCCAAGTAATACAACATATTCCAAAATGGAGGAAAGTAAGTGAAGTTAAGTGGCCTTCTAGGTCTCGTTTTAAGTTAAAGATTTTTCTGAAATACCAGGATGCGATCGAGGCGAAGAGAACTAACCATTATGAAAATAAAATACAAAAATCGCCACCAGTTTGAAGTAAGGTCTAAGTTCGTAGCATTATGGTTTTAAAAATCATATATTGAATTTCATTTAATTTGTAGATACATGGAAAACAACAAGCTTTTGGCCCTGTCACCGGATCAGTTCCAAGGCCTGCCCAACCTGTTAGAGCTGTAAGGAAAACCATTGATTTTACTTGTCTAGTAACAAGCTGAGATGGCTTAACGTTCCAAGCAATGACTCTTGACAGACAATCTCTAATCGATATTGCAAATTTTAATTCTTAAGGAGAGATATTTTCAATTGAAAAATAAACTTAACGCGTACTTAAAAGGAAGAGTAACGCTGGATGATACAAGCAAAGTGCTATGTGTGCCGTGGAAAAGCTTAGAAACTCGACAACCTCATTTTTTGATCCCAGTTTTGCTTACTCAATCGAGCTGGTGTACCCCCTAAAGAGTGTTAACCTTCAAACACCCTGTAAGAATTCTATATGATTAACATCGTCGATGGTCCGTGTAATGATGATCAATTTAATCTTAAATTATTTTAATGTTCTTCTAATAATAAGTATCCGTCTTCTTTGTACTTCTTCTTATACGGGGTCATATAACGACTGCTGCTTTCCCTCATCGAGATACAGTTGCTGTTGTTGACAACGCCTGTCCACATTCTTTTGATATTTTCAAAATGGTAACAGCGGATGAAGTTCATACATGTATCATGAATCTGGCTGCTAAGTCATGTGCTCTTGATCCTCTTCCTGGTTATGTTACAAGAAATGCACTTAGTGTTCTGTTGCCTTTCATTTCCAAAATCATAAATATCTCATTGGAATCTGGTCAGATGCCTTCGCAACTCAAGGTTGCAATGTTACGCCCGCTCCTTAAGAAATCTTCTTTGGATCATACTCAATTCTGCAATTATCGTCCGGTATCGAATCTTTCATTTATTAGCAAAGCAATTGAAAAATTGGTAGCTAATCAACTTATCTCCTACATTAACGATTATGAGTTAAATGAGACATTCCAGTCGGCGTACAAGAAATATCACAGTGCTGAAACTGCACTTATTCGTGTTCACAATGATATTCTTTCTGCCATTGATAATCGTCGAATCGTAATTTTGCTGTTGTTAGACCTTTCCGCTGCCTTCGATACAGTCGATCATACCATCCTCCTCTCTCGTTTACGTGTACGGTTTGGGATAGCTGGGAAGCCTCTATTATGGTTGCAATCTTATTTATCGAATCGCACGCAATATGTCTCTGTTGATGGTGGTACTTCGACGAAACATGACCTTAAATGTGGAGTGCCACAAGGATCGGTTTTGGGACCCATTTTGTATTTGCTTTATACTTCACCGCTTTCAGATATCGTAAAGAAATTTAACCTGAGCTATCATTTTTATGCTGACGACTCACAGCTTTACTTGTCTTTCCAACCAACCGTACTGGGTGATAGGGATCTTGCGGTTTCAAGCATCGAGAGCTGTGTGGATGAAATCAGTCATTGGATGATGGTTAATCGTCTTAAATTAAATAAAGACAAAACTGAATTATTGGTAATTTCCGCTAAACATCTTCCAAGACCACTCCTTCACGAAATTTCAGTTGCTGGTGAGACTATTCCTTCCGTGCAAAAGGCGAGGAATATCGGCACTATGTTCGACAGCCATTTTTGCTTTAAGGATCATATTACTGACATTTGTAAATCTTCATTTTATCATTTGCGAAATATTAGCTATATCAGGAAATATCTTTCAGCGACCACTACTGAATTGCTGGTTCATATGTTTGTATCTTCGAAGCTGGATTACTGTAATTCCCTTTTGTATGGCCTACCAGCCTACGCTATAAAAAGGCTACAACACGTACAGAATGCCGCGGCGCGCCTCGTCACACTTAAAAAAAAACATGATCACATCACGCCTGTTCTTTTCAATCTTCATTGGCTTCCCGTTAACCAACGTATTATTTTTAAGATTTTACTTATAACCTACAAGGCACTTAACAACCTGGCACCGTCGTACATTTGTGATCTGCTTACATCTTACACCCCATCGCGTCAACTACGCTCATCATTCAAGCACCTTCTGGTTTCTCCATCCTATAACTTGAAAACATATGGCGCAAGATCCTTTTCTGTAGCAGCACCATCATTATGGAATGCTTTGCCAAGTGAAATTAGAAATGCTCAGTCTGTGTCTGTTTTTAAACGTAGATTAAAAACTTTACTCTTTAGAAAAGCCTTTTATAATTAATATTAGCTGTCTTAAGTGTTAATGTTTAAGTTTTTTTCTTGTAGGCGCCTTTGAACAGTAGGATACTGGCGCGGTATAAATCTTTTATTATTATTATTATTATTATTATTTGTTTTTCAAGGGTTGTTTATAACAACAGTATCGAATATCTACCACGTGAAGTTTTTAAAGGCGCGAAAAACATCCTGTCTATGTAAGTAGCTCTTTTTAAACTCATTTGATTAACGAAGTTAATAATTTCAATAGCAATGAGACTTTCTCAAGAAATCTATGGCAGAAATAGTGCGAATCGCTTTCCATAATAGACGAAATTGACTGAAACCTGAATTACAGCTATCCCAAAAGAAAATCGCATAGTTTGAGCTCTTTCAAGTTTCCCTTTATTTCTTTAGTCTGCTACGTGTGCAAAACTCTTGTACTACGTATGTATTGATCGATGCAATTAAATGGCAAGTACCCGTCACCATACCCTCAAATAGACTCTACTTTCCCTGCATCTACAAGCTCGGTAAGCTTACAATAACTACAGAGATTATAGCTCTTTTAAGAAGAGTTAAGCCATCTAAGGGACTTCTTTACAACCTGCGCAGTATTGGTTCTGACGAAGTCTTATCATCATATACGACACAAAAAGCGCATGTTATGTTGACTTCCGATTACTGAACTTTAACTTTGAAACAAAACGAAACAAAATGACCTTAAAATGACCTCAGTTTACGAAGGAATTTACAATTCTCGCATGACATTTACGCTTTTAAGTGGTTTCTCGTTTTGCAGGGACTTTCATCTAAACAAAATCCCTGCAGTAACTAAGGAACAATTCAAAGATGTCGCACCAAACATTCGATTCTTGTGAGTATGCACTGAGTTTATTTAGGGTGTATACTAGGCGTTTGATACTCACTTTTCCCTTTCACTGAGCTCTCATCAGTCTCCTTCTGCTAAGGTTATAACGTTTTGGTTTCTCGTAATCATTGAGAGTTTGGACGAAAAAGAACGAGCGAACTAAAGTCGACCTCCCAGTAACTGATGCATTAGGTTGAAGAGATCATTTTATTAGAACATGAGCGGGTATTGCTGGCTAAACTGAATCACTTTCTTTTAACGCGCAGGTACCTTCATTACAACGAGATGCAGGAATTACCAAAAGGATTTTTCTCCAACATGAAGGAATTAATAACAACGTTAGTCAATTCAAATATACTCTTAGTGCCTTGATGAAGCGGTTTATTAGAACTTTCATTCTTCTGCACCTACTTATGCAGTGCTTACAACTTCGCTGCCCCTACCATTGACGTATATGGAGACTTTCTGATTGTTCCCACTTTTCCAATTTCCCTGCCGGTGAAACTGTTAAGTAATGGGAATTCATTTTCACATCGGAATTTACCCTCGATATTTTATCACTTTGAGTACCTGTCATTTCTTAAGCGCATTTTCTCCTCTGGGATTCATTTGAACTCTTTCTATGAACCGTAGGACTGTAGACACAAGCCTGATGTGTTGCCATTTGACGAAAGTGGACGCGGATTGCGACTTTGCCTACGTCGACCGCTTTGCCAGTTGCGAGACTATGTTCAGAAATCGAGCTCCTAGGAAGTGTGTTTGGGTTATTAGTGTCACGTCTCTGGTTGGAGCTGTGTTTGTCATCACGTGGCGAATGGTCTACAGGGAGGAAAATATTGCACAGTCAATCATGTTGATACACTTGGCGGTATCTGATGGCTTAATGGGTGTTTACCTAATCATTATAGGTTGGAAGGATGCGATGTGGGCAGGCAAATACTACTTGCATGACTTCAACTGGCGAACGAGTTTGTCATGCCAGATATCTGGTGCAATCGCTGTGTTGTCAAGCGAGGTGTCAATGATGCTTCTTTCTCTAATCTCTGCTGACAGGCTTAAAAATATTGTGTTCCCTTTCAGTGTTAATGGACTAACCAACAAAGCCACTCATACCTTGTGCTTTGCTATCTGGATAATCGGTTTCATAGTTGCTTTCCTTCCTACTATTGGCATTCAGTATTTTAAAGGTCGTCACTTCTATGGCAGATCTGTTGTTTGTCTCCCACTTAAACTCTCCAGTGATAAGGCACCTAGTTGGGAATATTCTGTGGCTGTCTTTATTGGGTTGAACTTGGCATTTCTTGCCTTTGTCATTGTGGCCTATCTTGCAATAGTTATAAACAGATGTCAGGTTCAGTCGATGTCAGCTAACACCCAGCGAGAGACAGCTCTTGCCAAACGTGTGTTTTTCATCATCCTGACCGACTGTATCTGCTGGATGCCCATCATTGTGATTGGACTCAGGTCCATCGTGGAAAAGTCGTTCAGGACACGAGGAGATCTCGAAGTGTGGATTGCAGTGTTTTTTCTTCCCTTCAACTCTGCCATAAATCCGATCCTATACACCTTGTCCACCACACAGGTAATTATCACTTTAAAATTTGTAAATAACCGTAAATTGTAAATGAAACTTTTAACTTTTAAGCAAGTTTTTCTATTTCATCTCGCTTAGCGAAAGTTATGTTTCACTAAAAGACATCAACTAAATATAAATCAAAAGAGGGCAGCATGTAATGACCAACTCTATGAAAAAGTGACGAAACCAACAAGGGGGAAATTAAAAAGGATTGAAGATTCATTTCTCAAGATCTTCCACAGTTCTAAACAAAGTATGTATCCAAGAATACGTGTCACATAATATGCTCGTGTAATCGTTTAAAAAAAAGTATGAAAGTTTCAAGTAATAGAAAGTTCTACAAATTATGTGAAATGTGTGAAGCAAAAGTTAAACATTCTCTTATTTAAATTGAAATCAGTTAAAGGGAGCGAATCTCTGTCACATTAGAATAGAATGAGACAGTGCCATCCAACATGATCTGACATGATTTAAGGTTTTATCATTTACTGAAACTTCTTACTTCAAGGTAAGGAAACCTTTTTCTCTCAAATATAGTTTCGAGACGTTCTCAAGGCAAAATGGCAACAGCTGTGCAACTACTTTATGACAAAGTGTGGTCGAACCCAAGCTGGAAAAGGTATAGACATCCGCTGATGTTTGGCTTTACTGGCTTACCGAGGGGATACATTTCATGGAAGAACCAGCGCAACTTTGACAGTTTATGCTTTTGATAATGTTGTTTAATTTACTCGTTTACTTACCATCGAAAGAAACAGTACACACATTCCCTGACAATATTTACAAATCTCTCAAATTTGCATGTTCCACACAGAATCAGCCAAAGAAGCCGAAGAGGAACCTGAAAAAGAGCAAGAAGAGGTTCACAAACATGAGCACCCAGGGGAAGAACATACTGAACTCCAACTCCAAGGGCAGCTGATCACAAAATACGCGGAGACTGCTAAGCCAGAAAAGCCCGAAACTGAGCCTAATAATTTTTATGAAACAATAGAAGCACTGCCAACGGAAACAAAGACTGAAGGTCATAAAAAGTCACAGAAAAATATTGCAGCAAATTCCGAATATGAGGAGCCACACACAGATTTTGTAGGAGATGAGGACAAATCTACTGGAAAAGGTATGGTTTAGATAATTTTTAGTATCTCCATCATTCACTCGATTATTGAGGTTCCAAAAATGGTCATGCATTCCCTTTATTTTAATTACGCAAAGGGAACAAAATTATGAGTATGTTTTCTTGAAATATGTTAGGCTTACTTGCGGCATCATGTCCAATTTAAGGCAACGCAAAAAAATCCCCAGAAAGCTTGTTGACAATGAACACGTATATGTTCAACAAAATCCCCAGAAAGCTTGTTGACAATGAACACGTATATGTTCAGGATTTTTTTAATATTCCACAGAGCAAAACAAAACAGATGTTGACAATGATCACTCAGCAGCTCAAGGAACAGCAGGAGATCCTCAGATCAACTCTGATGAGGTAGTGGAAGAGACAGTGTGGGAAACAGATGTATAATCAGGAAATGCATGCGGAAAAAATACCCTGTGTACTTGCTGTTTGTCAGGTTTTAATTATTAACTCATCAGGCTTCCCCAAAGATGATCGTCCTTTTAGACATCACATTTTGGCAATTTGTCATCTATGTGCTTTTTTTTTAGGGATAGTTTTAGATACAACTGCCTGCTAACCGACAGAATGCTAGGTAGTTCAAGCCTAATACATGTAATTAATGTATTAAAGTAATATATATGATATACGTCTTGATCAGTTACTAGATTTTCTAATTCTTAGCCATTACTTCAGGTATTTTGTGAAACGTACTCTTTATGTAGTAAATGAAATCTGCAGTTAAAGAGGAGACTGCGATCAAAATCATTTTTCCATCGGATATAAAAGCGGGATAAACCAGGGTCGGCGATTAATACCTTTCTAAAAGGTACTAGAAGATATTGAAACAGTTCTATTTACATCGGACACAGTCCCAAAACGAAACGTAGTACTGTGCATGGCAATCCTCACAGTAAAGCAAAAGTGATAATTAGTTCAAAAGTTAATTCAGTGAATAATCTTGATCTCAGATTTAAAACGGGGGCGTAGGCGCACTTCTAATCTTGGATTGTACCATTCTTCACTGGGTATGCGAGCACAGAAACTTATAGAACAACTGATAGAATGTTTCGAGAATTCTCTATGCGCCCAAAGGCATGTTTATAGTGAAGTTCGGTAAATACTGGAAAAATCAAACCAATTGAGAGTAACCATAGAGATTTCAGAGGCTCATAGTGTTTACAAGAGTGCTCTTAGTTGGAGACTATAGAACGTGTTACTCTTTTTGTATTAAAAATATTCATTACTCACTGATATTTCAACTTTTAAGTAGCTCTAAGTGGCCACATTGAATAACAGTGCTTAGCCACATTTCATATCTAATCAACTACACACACCATACTAGGCTGGGTGTGGGAGTTGGATAATTCATTTTTTATCTGGCCCATTCATATATTCTGATTTGCTGCTAAATAAGGATTAACATTAAGTTTGGTAAAAGCTTGAACAAATCTCAGGGGAAAATGTATAACAATTTTGACAAGTTAAAACACATATCGTCAGTGTGTCTAGAATTATCACCACAGAGGAAGTCGTTATTGCCCCGTTTATAAACAGTTGTCAAGCTTGCTTAACTATGATAATAAATAAAGATTTAAGACAAAATGAGACATGTAAAACAACTGCACATAAACTGGTCAACTAAGATGCAGGCGATTAATTGTGATCAAGGTATACCGAACATTTCTTTGCAGGCCCAATATCATTTGCGCCCTCATTTCATCTCTTTTCTCCTAATTCACCTCTTCCCCTTATCTCGCTGCAAAAGAACATTGAATGACAACTAAATCAACCCCTAACAAGACCTGACTCTTGAAGACTCAAAACACCCTTCTTGTAAAACTTTTGGGGAAAGAGTTACGTTTGTTACAGTACGAAGCAACACAAGCAACCAATTTATCTGAAACCTCCGTGACATAAGTGATGTGACACTTTTGAGTTAAATCATAGAGATCAATTTCCTCCCGTTAGGGGTTCATCTATGAAAACGAACAGAACAATACCCCGACATCATAATGTACCTAATCAAAGCTTTTGCCTCAGTTCAGCATCATCTGTCTGGAAGGAAAGAGTATTCCTTTTACTGTGAGTTACTTTTTAAACTGTAGTTAGATCATGCTAAACGTTTTCAAACTTTTTCTGTAGCTGGGTGGATCCGAGGCTGCACTTCAGCTATTACTATAACCTTTCATGAAGCAAATGTGAGACAAATTTACAACGGACGTGGTTAAAAAAACGGAGATACGAACGATGCATTGCCTTTTAAGATTTTCAATTTATTGTACACATTTCATACAGGACTCTCGCAGGATGAAGTCTGCATTTGCCAATTCTCATCTTGTGAAAGGAACATAGTAAACTGTGGACCTAACCTGTAGCGGTTGGTTAGATATCCTTTTCACTTAAACACGAATAAAGAACATCAGGTGCCCAAAAATTAACCATTGTTTAAAATTTTTTTAAAAGTTATGGCTTCCACTACCCATGTAGGAACTGAGCCCAGACTTGCTTGTTCATTGGAGATGTTAGAAATTGTTTTTGCATGGAATTTTGCGAAACCACAAAAAATGTCTTTATTTTAAATGATAGGTAAGGGAAGAAACCAAGACAAGTTTTGACGGTTCGTTACGTGAAGTTTAATAAATATAGAACATAACCAGTTTAATTGAAGTTCCTAATGACTTTTCTGTTCGTCACTGGAGCAAAGCAAAGTAAGCTGATTTTTTATGCCAGAAAAGATGGGAAGTGTGGGCTCTCCCAGGGGGACCTCAGATACCCCTGGGAATTCTTTTATTGTCACAAACTTGTAATAACTTGACATCTTGTTTTCTCAAAGACAACATCTGAAACAGTTCTTCGTTTTACTGACACAGATTACAATATTGGTACCTCTCTTTCATCAACATGAGCACTAATGCACATTCGAAGGTTGTATCGTAAATTGGAGTACATCCATACAAGCTTTTCATTTCCATAAATTCGGAAAATCAATTACGTTTAGCAAATCCTGAGAACTAGCAAATATCAAACATTACTTCATTCAACTGACAGAAATTTCAATGTTAACGCCTCCCCAGTGTCAAAACAATAATAATGCACGGTTGAAGACTCATTTGCGATGCAAAAGTTCAAGCAGAAATTACAGAAGAGGGCCCTCCCGCTTTTTGCAAATGCGTGAGAAACTTCCCGATTAGAAAAGGCTTGTCTTTCGCTTTCACTACTTCTCTACTTTAGCCACAAAATGATTTGATTATCTTAGTAAGTTGTCGGTTTTAAAGTTAGTAAACGGCTGGGCAAACATTTCGTTGTGGATTAACATTAATTTCTTTGGTTTTATTAACAATGAATTCGAATTATTTTTCAATGTTGGTTTGCGATATTTCAGACCAAAAATCCCTCCAGTTATACCATGCAGTGGCTGCTGATTAAGTATTAGATATATAAACGCTATCTAGAGTTGGATATTATGATTACGCTGTGAGGAAAAGAGATCCTATCCCATCGCCGCGGAATCTAACCGTAGTCGCAAACCTACGCATATTGTTTACCTAATTAATGTTGTATGGGGCTTTCTAAAAATAATTCTAGGAAAATTCAATTTTCATCGGTACATTAAATGATCATGCTCTTTCGCATCTCCATCGACTTCAAAAAAGCGCAATGACGAGTTTTGAGATAAAGTAACATAAAAGTAACTTATTTGAAACTTTTCAATTTCGAATTGGTTCGAATCTGACCTCCAACTGCTCAAAACAACATGTCACGGGAGGTAAAATTTGCAAAGAAGCTAACATCTTTACCAGTTGGCGAAGGAAACGGATAGTTTTTTGTCCACACTGTGCAAGAGGTTTTAATTTTTATATCTATAAATTGCACAGTGAGGAGGATTTTGAACGTATCAAGAATCAGGAAAAAGTCGAAGTCGCAACATGAAACATCATCCATCTATTTCAACTTTGCAACAGCAGGCCCTGCTTTTTCGTCAAGTTCACTACTTTTAAAACAACAAACACTAAAGAGGGAATCACTCGTTTTCATTTTAACCTTTCACCTCTGCCTTCTTCATATTAGTTGTTTAGCTCTGCATTATGTGTTAGATACTTGTCAGTAACATTCGAACAAAAAGTACAGGTATGAGTTAGGTTTACGAGGATACCCACCTGTCATTTCTTATTATCGACCTGCTGAGCTCGCTGCATGGCAGCGCTTCAGCCGGGTAAAACTGTAGCCTGAATTCATTTATTTTGGCTCCCTATGAAATAATAATTTTTATCGAACCAAAAAATATCGAGAGCTTAGTAATTTATTCATATAGAACGAATAACCAAAATGTCTTAAGAATCTACATCAAAACTCACGTGTTACATTATATTACAGTCTGTAAATGTGCCTGAACTTGTATTGAAAAATCGAGCGCGCAAATATTATGAGACTATGTATTATTGATAGTTTGACAATTTGGCTAGGTACAATGCGGCTAATTGATTGTTTTGCAAATTTCTTGGTTACGAATAGTTATTGCCAAACCTCCCATAGAAAGAAATATTATGACTGAACTAGTACTGTCAAAAATTGTTTTTCCCGAACTTAAGTGAATATTTTAACTGACTTCTTAATCTTAACCGCAAGTTTTTTCGTCATTGGATCGAAGCTAACAAGTAAGATATGTTTACCTTAAATACCTCTATATTATAAATCCTTAGAAATCTCTCGGATTCGATCTATCGCAAAATTTTGAGGTTACGTTTATCACTCTTCAATACGTTGGATTTCAGAATGAGTTTGCCACATGCACTGGTGACTTTGTTACTGTTAGCAGCTTCTTCCTGCCATGGGTTTTCGATTACAGGCCACCGACACGAAAGGTAATTTGTCTATTCATAAAAACACGCGAACCTATGAATTTCGCGTTCACGGGTTCCAAAATTTGATGAGAACTGTAGCTTTGTTATACAAAGAAAACAAATAATTTTTTAAGGCTTTTTCTTATTTTAAGTTTATGGCCGAACGATACTAGTAATAAATTATTCTTTCCTTAAATCGACCCTTTATTCATTAGTCACTTCATACTTATCCCACATGTTTGTACGAGAATGCGGGTATCATTTGAAGCAAAAAGCTTCGTGAATGAACTAAAACGCTTACACATTCCCAAGACTTAAGTTGGTAACTTCTGGTTTCTTTCTTAAGTTTCCAAATGCAAAATTCTGATTCGCTTCACATCTATGGCAAAAGTTACCAAAAGTGACTGTCACAAAACATAGCCTGGTTGGAAACTTAACGAAACAAAGAAGAGAGCTTCGTAGTTAGTTATGCATTATATCGCCAGCCAAACCTCTGAAGTATTGGACTTATAGGAAATGTCAAAATACCTATTAAACTAGAAAGAAGATCGCCAGAAAATAACCTTGATTCGACTGAGATGACTGCCAGTTTTTACTAATTAACGTTCATGTTTTATTTGAAAAGTATCTTTTCATCGATGTTTTCCTTTCTCGTGTTTATCATCAAACACAGCATTGCATCCTGTTTTGTTACGACCCTGTCTATTGAAAGATATAACTTACTCCTTTGGAAATATCAATTTATCACTGACATTCAAGTAAGGGGGGAAAGAATGATTTCTACTTTACATCAGTATGTAACTTGGTAGAATAAGAAAAAAGTCAAAAGCAGCAAACCTAAAAATAGTGCCTTGGACTGAGACAAGTAGCCATTAATTCTAGAAGAATCGATTAAGACAGCAGTTACAAACAGCTACCCGCAATTAACGATGCATAATGTATGACAGGAAGTTCACACCGTTTCATTTGGTATTCTTCGAAGCCGGATGAGATTTCATCATACTAGTTTGAGGGTCTAATTAAGGATGGAATGAATGGTTAAAAAGTCGTACGAGGATACATTAAGTATCAGTATTTCCTGTAACAGAAATTTCACCTGTCCGTTATCGCTAGAGGTGTTATGTAACCCTCATGAGCACAGCGTTAAAGTGATGTCATAATGATCCTACTTAAACTAAAGATTACCAACTGACACCTGCAACTTGTCCAAAAAATGTTCACAGAACTATAAAATACACTGACGATAAGAACCAACGTGTTTTCTAGACACTGGCTTCAGCTGTCAGAGAATTAGGTACTAAGTATATCTACTTACGTTCAGAATGTTTTATATAACGCGTGCTTTGATATATACTTGTTACATCTTAAATTATTAGATGTCTCATAAAACAGGTCTTTAGAGGAGGATGAAGACTGGGTACGTGGCAAGGAAGAGGCTGCCAATTTATCTTCCACCATTAATGAAATACTAGCCAATTATGACCCTAAACTCCGCCCTAATGCCGGAGGTAAGCTGCTTAAGAAATCATAAATGCATCTAACTGCAATCAAATCAGCTACGGCACGAATTGCTAACGTTAGCATTTATATTTATAATACCAGAGTTCCTTGATTTTCCATTCCTTTACCAAACCATAGAATTCACAAATACCGTCTGTCAATGTTTGGACATCGACTCTGAGCTATTGTTTAACTAATACTCTCGGGTAGAAAACAGGAAGGCTTTTCTGT